ATCTTGGGGCTTATTTAATAATCAGCTTTCAGTATTTTATTATCAAAAAAATGATCCCACAACCCACCCACACTTATCAAGATATGACCATAATTGGTCAAAATCACACCCACAGTCTGCAAAATCAGCCATAGTTTGATGGCCGGGAGTCATGGAAAGAACAATGATTCATATGAGTAAGACTTAGCATGTAGTAATTTTGGTACATTGTATTGCCCAGCCTGTTATAATCAACACGGAGCAGCTGCTGGTGGTTATATACAGTAGCCAATCTGTGTCTGCAAAAGCAGTATTGCAGTTGCATAGTCAATGTCTGCTGTGTGTCATCATATCTCCCATTTTGAGACACTTTATGTTTTATGAGATGACGAGTTACATGCTTGAGCAATTTTACAGCTGGCGTTGGGTGTGCTTGCAAGGTGCCGTTTCATTTATTGGTTTGTAAATATTTCCAAACGACGATAAAATCTCGGTACATTATGTACATACGTTCTGCACAGCGGTGTTCCCCCACCACCCCCCACCTCACATCTCCCAGGCATGTAAAACTCTCTAAGATCCAGAATATACCTAACTGGAAAGTAAGAGTCCCTGGATAGCCTGGGGCCCCAGACTGGCTACTGATAGATAACACAAAAATGTGGCATGATTTATGAGGAGCTCCATTCTAAATAAAGAGCAGGACAATGCAATAAAAAAAGGAGCTTAAACGTTCTTGGTATAGTTTATTTTTGGGTCAAATGAAATGTAATTACACATTATGGCCAGTAGATGGAGCTGAGGAGCATAGGAAATAAATACATATTTCTCATGTTCCTTTGCCCCACCTAGTGGCTAAAATGCATTATTTCATTACATTACAATTGACCCAAAGGGATAATATACTAAGAACAATCTTTTTTGCCTCTATTCTTACAAAAGGAACATTCGCAGATATTCTAAAGGTGAATGGTTCTGTGAATTGTTTATAACTAGACCCCATGCTTATGCACTTTCCCATTTACTACATTATGCTGACTTAAATTGTCCATACATTTTAAAATGTATTTTAACATGTATAGATCTTGCTTAGATCTACATACATACATACATACATACATTCCTGACTGGATACAAATGTAATTCTTGAGGTAGGCCCTCGTATTACATGGCTTTGGTAAATCTAAAGGAGATTATATGGAGATTGTACTTTCAGATTGTAACATGTATGGGCAGATCTACAGCGGCAGACTCTCACTGCTAAGCTTTCCTCTTCACATGGTTTAGATCTATCCAGAATATGAAATGCTGAGGAGCAGGGGTGTCCCTAGACTTATCGCCTGAGGCCAGGGGGGGATGTGTGGTGGTGCGATTCTGGTGGTGCATGTTACTGGGGCGGCATCCCGCTCAGCTCCTGGCAACCAGTGACATCATTAGTTGCCAGGAGCTGGGCAGGACGCCAGCCAGAGCATCACAGGTTGCTAAACCGGCTGCCTCATTAAAGGAACGGCCCTGCTGAGAAGGAGCAATAGACACTTACAGGAGCCAAGATTTATTTTTTTCTTTCATATGTACCTGGCAATTATGTGTATTGGAAACAGCATTTCTTTTAGCAAAAGTCTTAGGTTAATAATAATAATAATAATGGGGCCGTGTTTTCTTCGTCTTATGGAGGTTTGTGGATACTTACCCGTCAAACAAAGAATGGAATTTAAAATGTCTTCAGTTAGAGCCCCTTCTGTTCATGTCAAATGAGACCTCATTCCGTTTTGGTGTCATGCATGATACAACTGAACATATTCTGCTTACATGTACAGGCCGAACATTCTATCCTGTACACCAGCTTGGGCCACCAGTAGAGCGCCATGTGTGGCCAGCAACGTAAAGAATGGTTATTGTTCTGCAGGAAGTCAAGGGTGCAAAGGGAAATGTTCTATGACATCAGACCACAAGCTGCTTTAGTATGTTTTTTTCAGAAGGTCTGGAAAAGGTTCCATGCGTTGGTGTGAATGTTACCAGGGGGCTCCGACAGAACAATGTGCTTTATTATACCCATGCTGAATTTGTGCAATGTCTCTATGGCAGCGGACGTCTGCTGCTACGGAACCTACGTGCTATACAGTCTACCGGCTCAGCAAATATCCTCCAGATCTGGGGTATCCCCCTGTTCCAGTGAGGTCATCTTTAGCATGATTTCATGTTGGAAATATTCAGACTCAGAATACCCCCCCTCCCATCCAGAGGAGTCTGGGAGAGTGAGACAGGGAGGGGGCAGCTTCTGTACAAGACTGGGGGAAGGGGCTAGAGGAAAAGTTTGTTTTACAAGAGGATGTGGACTTCCACCTACACATAATGATCACACTACTGAACTGTTCAGATGTTTGTGCAGTTCATGGAATATATGCAAAGCAATAATATCCAGGTTGCTGTAGACACAATGTTAGACATCCATGAGTGCTAGTAATAAGTCAATAAGTCTTCGGTTTCCTATGCTCTGTGGATAGTTCGGCACTGTCTGTATGTATGAGAAAACATGGTGGTGGCTGGAACTAATTAAAGCGTGAGGTCACCCTGGGGAGGATAAGTGGGTTCTCACGGTGGTTAAGGGCCACTGAAGGGACCTTACATGGGTCAGCAGTTGAGAAGACTACTTCACAGCATCCATACAATATGTCTTTGTCCTAGACACTAAAATTAGATTTTAAGCTCAGGAGAGCTGTGCCTGGGAGCTCAAAGCAGAGTACAGTTATAAAAACAGAAAAAACCCCCAGAACTACGATTGGACTGAGTTATATCTTAAGACGGTCAGATGCAGCAAGGCCCATAGACAGGCATGTACTTAAAGCAAACCTTCATTAAAAAATTACACATTCCACCGTCCCAGTCCTCCGTTCTCCAGGACATAAAAAAGTAGACTATTTTTTAAAGGTTACATTTACCTTTTATTTCTTTTACTCATCTTCCACCCATTACCACCTCCCCTTGTAGCCTTTTGAGATACCAATGTCACATATCCCTGGAGACATCAGCTCTGCCACAGCTGGGATGATGCATTGGATGCATCACCAGGCCCAACCCCAATGGATCCAAGGTTGTCCTCTTCTCTTGCACTGCTCTCCTTCTCCGTATTCCTCTTGTATATCATTGGGAACGGGCTGTCTCTTCCTGGTTCTTTACAGCTCTCTCCTGATGACATATAAAAAGATGGCGGCACACCACAGGACCTGGAGTAGGTGAGAAGTGTGAGAGAAGAGGATAACTCTAGATCCACTGGGCTTGTAAGTATTTATGCAACACAAAAGAAACATGAAAGGTAAAGCGCACATGAACCATATTTTTGGGGGCAGTGTGAAGTTCCTCTTAAAGGATAACAGAAAATTCAAGGTGTGATAATCCACTGCAACCAATCAGAGGTCAGAGTTAATTGTTTGTAGTGCTTCAAACTGATGATAGATTAAATCTGGTTGGTTGTCCGGTTTACTGCACGCTATTGCGTAGTTGCTTAACAAAGCCAAAAACTTTTTATTTAATTTAGCATAAAGCTGCAAAGGGTTAGAGCAGACATTTTTGACCATGGAATCCTCCAGAGATTGCTAAGGGTTCCTTGAGCAGTAGCTGATTGACCTTTTATCTGATGGTGCCTGCCAGTGCCATGACACCAATGATCTTTCTAGCTGTCTGTAAAGGTGTCTGTGAAGGTTCTCATTCATCCAGGTCATGGTATATCTGTAAAAATTAAGTCAAGGCAACTGAACTTGCTGTATTTTTCTTGAAGACGTTTCACTGGTCATCCAACCAGCTTTTTCAATTCAGAAATTCTGAACTTACAAAGCTGGTTGGCTGACCAGTGAAACGTCTTCAAGAAAAATACAGCAAGTCCAGTTGCCTTGACTTAATTTTTACAGATATGTCTGTAAAGGCGGCATTCTGAGCACCATTGTAAGGAGTATTCTCCCTACTGAACCCGTTGAATTAATTTTAGCAGGGGTTCCTAAAGACCTGAAAAGTATTTCAAGGGTTCCCCTGCCAGGTTTTTAATTCCTGTCTGTGTCCCTATTTGGGATTGTCAGAACAGGAACTTAAATCTTTGCATTTCAGACACATGATAACCCATTTACTGCTGTTCATGCCTTCCGGTCCAGATAGCAACCGCTCCTCCCATTTCTTTTCTTGTCATGTCACAGAGACAGGAACTGAAGGTAAACCTCCCTAATGGGGTCACAGACAGAGATGTAAATCTGGCAAAAATGTTAACATTTCCCTACTCTATCCAAAAAACTATCTATCCCCAAATATTTTTTTTGCATGTTGTAGCACAAAAATGTTTCAAACACTTTCATGTTGCAAAGGTGTAACAATTTGGTTTTTCACCCTTGCATCAGTTTTCATAACCTACTTTCCCACTATATACCACTGTCTGTGCTTTTAGTTTGAGTATAGTATTCATCATCTCATCAACTTGCCCTTATAGCTCCATATTTAAAATTCCCAAAACTCACGTACCGTTTTTTACCGCTTTATACGTGAAAATATCTACTTCTTCCTAACGGACCTGATGCTACTTTTTTTATTTTGTGTCCTGCACAAGATGCATGTAAGAGGCAATCTAATTGGTGGACATGGACAGTCTGTTCTGAATTCTGAAACATTTTATAGGAGGCTGTATAAATTCTCCTATAGGCGAGTGTATCACACATGGGGCCATGTACACTGAACCAGATGTACACCTGCTCTGTCAGCATTTCATTCTCCTTTGAAGTAAGCTGTGGCAACTGTGCACCAGCAGCCAAGACCATGCGAGAGGATATGAACAGAACATTGCCACCTAGTGGCCAATATGTTTTACATAATGTTTTTACACAAAGCTCATGTTGAAGTTATCTGAGTGAATTGTCTACCTTTAGCACAGTTGCATTAGTAGGTCGCTGAATTGTTTTTTTACTTGTTGCCTAAACATTCCCTGAAATGTGAAAATGTAGCACAAATATTCATTGTAACATTGCTGCTCTCTGTTGTTCTAGGCATGAAATCAGAGTTGGAGACTTTCCTGAACCATGTTGGTGGTGCCGGTGTTCCTCATCTTCCTTACCCTATCTGTACCCGCATTGGGGCAATATGAGCACTGGCAATATTATCCTGAATATTACGAGCAACAGGCACCCGCTCCACAGCCAACACAACCACCCAAGCCTGCCCAGAAAGTCCACGTCCGTCTAGCAGGCGAGAAACGCAAGCACTCTGAAGGGAGAGTGGAAGTTTACTATAATGGAGAGTGGGGCACCGTGTGTGATGACGACTTCTCCATCCATGCCGCTCATGTGATCTGTAGAGAACTTGGCTTCGTGGAGGCATTATCATGGGCACCCAGCTCCAAGTATGGCAAGGGAGATGGTGAGTAAGTCTGAAATACCACATGGCGGTATACTTACAGTGTATGTGCATGCATGGTGCAGGAAGGTCATACTTTTGCCTAGTTTCCCCACTACATATATTTTTTTAACAGGTACGTTTTTATTGTTTTAGTACCAAAACAGAAAATTAAAATCAACATAAAAGGAAAAAGCAAATAGACACAAGTACATACAGAATTAATACAGAAAAAAGAAAAATACATAGAAACATAAAACAGTGTGGATCACAGGTACCATAGGCAAGAGATATTTGAACTCACGGATGGGCCATTGCAGGCTTCGTAGTTACGGGGGGTGGGGGTGGGGTCATTGCAGGAATCCACGAGGGAAAAAGAGAAGTATCTTAGCAGCCCAGCAAAGGCACAGTGTAGGCTACGGGGCCAGTAGTGGGATTTACAGCAAACAACATGGATCCACAGTGTCAACAACTCCCATCTCAGCCCAAGATCTCCCTAATTACTAGAGGGCTCGGATGGGAGGGGATCCCCCACATCAGGACTCCTTAGTGTGAGCCCCTAGCCTCCACCCATCCCCCCAGATCCGGTCAAACTTGCGTATGCAATTCCGACTCACCCACTACATATCTAATTATGCGCATATGTATTCAAATATTTCTTAATGCAAGCAGTTTAAGTACCTTCCTTAAACATGGTTCCAGCATCTTACTTTCTAGACTACAGCAGAGCTCAGCGAGGGGAGGGAGAAGCAGTACAAAGAGCCAATCAGGCATGCTGCAGTGCAAGGAACATGCTGATAGAACAAAGTGACAGATATGCTTCTCCTTACACTGTCCAGTCACAGAGTGCTGGGGAGGGGCACAATTCTAAAAGATAAATATGAAAATAACCCACTATGATGGGGTCAAGGTAGAAAAGAACATTGACATCAATGCACTATAGTAAAAGATTTGTTAGTGCAGGGGTCCCCAAACGTTTTAAACAAAGGACCAGTTCAGTGTCCTCCAGACCTCAGGAGGGCAGGAGGTGGCCAGTGGGAGTAGAAGATGCCTCAAGCTTGGGGGTCAGTGGAAATAGAAAATGCCCCAGGGTTGGTCGTCAGTAACAATAAAAAGATACCTAGCTTGTGTGGTCATTTGAAGGAGGGATAATGGCCCACTGTTGGTGTCAGTGGGAGGAATAGTGCCCCATAATTGGTATCAATGAGAAGAATATTGCCCCATAGTTAGTATCAGTAAGAGGAACTATGCCCCATCGTGGGAAAATTGTGCCCTATTGATTGTCAGAATGGGAGGCAATGTCCCCATTGTTAGTGTCAAAGGGATGCATAATGTCAATCAATGTTGTCACTTGGAGGAATTATGCCCCATTGTTTGTGTCACTGGAAGTAATAGTGTCCCATTGTGTCAGTGAGAAGAATAGTAACCCAAGGGCCAGATAAAGGCAAGCACAGGGCTCTAGTTTGGATACCACTGCGATAGTGCATAGAAAGTAATGTGAAATAATCTGCCTACTGCAAACTGAAATTGGTTACTACAGGCTACTGTATGTTGCATAATATCATTGGGGTCTCAAGCAAAACAAAGCTGGGCAACAGTGCAATTCACCATGACATATCATTGTGGTAACCTTTGATGATTGTCCCCCTTTTTCTATTTCCCTCAGGTCCAATCTGGATGGACAATGTGCACTGTACCGGCAGAGAGAACAGCATTTCCTCCTGCAGCTCTAATGGATGGGGGGTTTCGGACTGCAAGCACAGTGAGGATGTCGGCATTCAGTGCAGCGACCGCAGGATCCCTGGGTTCAAATATGATAATGCTTTGGTGGAGCGGCTGGAGGTGAGAACTGTTGGATACCCACACCTAGGAATTGTGGGTGGAGAGATGACATATTTTCATAATATTTAATTCAGTTCTAATTCTTAGAATAAAGGAATAGTGGCCCATCCTTGGTATCAATGAGAGGACTGGTGCCCCATACTTGGTATCAGAGAAAGGAATAATGCCCCATCCTTGGTATCAATGAAAGGAATAGTGCCCCATCCTTGCTATCAATGAAAGGAATAGTGCCCCATACTTGGTATCAGAGAAAGGAATAGTGCCCCATCCTTGGTATCAATGAAAGGAATAGTGCCCCATCCTTGGTATCAGAGAAAGTAATAGTGCCCCATCCTTGGTATCAATTAAAGGAATAGTGTCCCATCCTTGCTATCAATGAAAGGAATAGTGCCCCAACCTTGTTATCAATGAAAGGAATAATGCCCCATCCTTGGTGTCAATGAGAGGAATAATGCCCCATCCTTGGTATTAATGAGAGGAATAGTGCCCCACCCTTGGTGTCAATGAAAGGAATAGTTCCCCATCCTTGGTATCAATGAAAGGAATAGTGCCCCATCTTTGATATCAATGAGAGGAATAGTGCCCCATCTTTGATATCAATGAGAGGAATAGTGCCCCATGCTTGTATCAATAAGAGGAATAGTGCCCCATTGTTAGTATCAGTGAAAAATTGTGCCCCATTGATGGTCAGAGTGCATGGAATTGTGCCCATGAGGAATTATACCCAATGATGTTGTCAATGTTTTATATCACTACTACAACAGAAGACATAAGCCATACCTGTAAATATCATAGAGGACAATTATTGGATTGGTTGCTGTAGATTATTGAACATTACAAGATCTTTGGTGCTGGTCCAGCAGAAGTACTGTCATTTCTTCCAGCTCCAGGTCCTTTAATGCCTTCTATAACATTCATATATTGGCACTTTAAGAACAGCAAGTGTCCTGGTGGGTCCTGAGGAACTGAAGGGTTTGCTCTGAGTCTATTGAGGACGAGGCTGGACTGGGCTGCCCACAGTAATGTCACCATTTCCATTAATCACCAGCTTGGTGTATCAAGTATCACACCAAATGTGTCATCTCCTGACTTCCCAGACTAAAAACCAGCAATAAAATCCAGTCTGTACACACAGTCCAGACATCGATTCCATATTCCAGTCTATACAAATATTGTATATATGTAAGTATTTGTAAATGCTGGTGTATATATATATTTACAGTATACGCTGAGTGGCCAGATTATTATGACCAGCCCATCAGTACTTCGTTGGGCCGCCTCGTGACTCCACAAGATGCTGAAAGGTGATGCGAGGAATCTGACACTGCCCTGTTGCCCTTCTGTTGTCTTGTACCAGTCTTGCCACTCTCCGTTCTGCCCTAACATTGACAAGTCGCTGACTGCCACAATTCGCACGTTCAGACCCAGATTTTCGGCTGACAGTCCAGTCTTTAAACACTTTAACAACAGCTGCTCTTGAACATTTACCGAATTCTGCTGTTTTGCTGATACTCGCTCCATGGCTCCGAGCGCCAACAATCATCCCACGCTCAAAGGCTGTTAAATCGCGTTGTTTCCCCGTATCTTCAGAAAAAAATCACTTCTACTGCCGTGGTAAACAACCTGCTTCCCTATTTATAATGGTCTGGCCCTCTAGCAACTTCAGCGCAAAATTATAGCTAATTTGCCTACAAACGTCAGGTGGTCATAATAATCTGGCCACTCAGTGTATATCTATCTGCCATATACTATCCCGCACATTATCTGAACCAGTTGCTGCTTTACATGGTCACACGAGTTGCACAATAAACAGTGTTGGGTCCCGGTGCAGTAAATGGCAGACAGATGACTCCCTATCCATCAAACATCTGCCTGTCCATGCATGGTCTCATATACCAACCTGAACATTTCATTTTTGTTTTATCTCTCTTATACACCCACATCTACACAATGGAAGCATTATATAAAGGAAGTGTTGGGCTTGAGTGAACATGCCCAGCATCATTCATAGGACACACATGTGCTGCATGACAGGTCCCCTCTGTGTGGCTATATACAGCATATTAAGTGAGCTGTCAGAGGCTGCATTGCATGGGTCTGTGTTTACTCTTCTCCTACATTTCCATTCAGCGCAGGGCAATCACACCTAGTGAACAGTACACATATTATAACACAGCTGAGACGGAGTACAGAGTGCTGCATTGTGCTGTATATATACAATGTGACGTGACAGACACTGCGCTCCTTTCAGCAGTCTACTCCCATGTTAGGCTTGCACCCATAATTCCCCTGACATTCCTCCATGATGTTATCCTGAACAGTTTTACCATGATGTGAGATTTGCTCTAGGTGTGGCCATGCCAGTGCAGTCTCAGCTGTGTTTACTGACCATGCCCAGGCTGTACTCGGCATCTGAGCCCACAGTGGTTGGTCTGGATGTCCCGCAATGTGTCTGGGTCACAAGTTCAGTGTCTCTTCTGCATGAAATGTGTTTGCTCAGAGTACACAGAGGGTGTATGTGTGTGTGAATATATTTAGAACCAAGGTTCACCCCATCCCATGTGTTTGCTAATAGGGCTACCTCAAACTATTTAAGATATCATTTAGTCAGTTTAGGAAATCAGACAATTTATAATACAATATATGGATTACAGTTGTAGTAGGATCATATGTGCCTTTGCTTTGTAGATGCTCCTTATATATCTGCCTGTAGTAAGTAGTCAGTACGGGGCCTTCATGTAGTAGGTACTTCCTCTCTGCCGGACTGTACTAAGTACTCTATATGGACCAGCCTGTAGTAGGTACTCCCTCTGTGCTGGCATGCACTAAGTACTCTGTATGGGCCTGCCTGTAGTAGGTACTCCCTCTCTGCCAGACTGTACTAAGTACTCTATATGGACCTGCCTATAGTAGGTACTCCTTCTGTGCCACTGTGTACTAAGTAATCTATATGGGCCAGCCTGTAATAGGTTCTCTCTCTGTGCCAGCCTTTACTAGGTACTCTGTATGGACCTACCTATAATATGTTCTCCCTCTTTGCCAGCCTGTACTAGGTACTCTGTATGGGCCTACCTGTAATAGGTTCTCCCTCTGTGCCAGCCTGTACTAGGTATTCTGTATGGGCCTACCAGTAATAGGGTCTCCCTCTGTGCAACCTGTACTAGGTACTCTGTATGGGCCTACCTGTAATAGGTGTTCTCCCTCTGAGCCAGCCTGTACTAGGTACTCTGTATGGGCCTACCTGTAATAGGTGTTCTCTCTCTGAGCCAGCCTGTACTAGGTACTCTGTATGGGCCTACCTTTAACAGGTTCTCCCTCTGTGCCAGCCTGTACTAGGTACTCTGTATGGGTCTACAGTAATAGGGCCTCCCTCTGTCCCAGCCTGTACTAGGTATTCTGTATGGGCCTACCTATAATAGGTTCTCCCTCTGTGCCAACCTGTACTAGGTACTCTGTATGTGCCTACCATTAATATTCACTCTCCCTGTGCCAGCCTGTACTAGGTACTCTGTATGGGTCTACCTATAATAGGTTCTTCCTCTGTGCCAGCCTGTACTAAGAACTCTCTATAGGTGTGTATGTATTAGGAACTCCCTTTTTGCCTACCTGTACCGTGCACTGCATTTGAGCCTGCCTGTAGTAAGTGCTGTACGTGCTTGTCTGTAGTAGGTTCTCCCTTTGTGTCTACCTGTACTAAGTGCTCCATATGGGTCTGCCTGTAATAAGTAGGTTTTACAAGTACACCTGCCTGTAATAAGTTCACTGTGTTGGCCAGTCTACAGTAGGTACTCCCTCTTTGTCTGCCAGTAGTAAGAGTTCTGTACAAGTCTACCTGCAGTAAGCACTGTGTTTGTGTGTGACTCCTTGTAGAAAGTGCTCCGTGTGTGCCTGCCTGTACCAAGCACTGTGTATGAGACTGCCTGTAGTAAGTGCTCTGTGTGTGCCTGCCTGTACCAAGCACTGTGTATGAGACTGCCTGTAGTAAGTGCTCTGTGTATGTGCCTGCCTGTAGTAAGAGCTCTGGGAGTGCTTGCCTATAGTAAGTGCTGTAGTAAGAGCTCTAGGAGTGCTTGCCTGTAGTAAGTGCTCTGTGTTTGCCTGCCTGTAGTAAGTGCTGTAGTAAGAGCTCTAGGAGTGCTTGCCTGTAGTAAGTGCTCTGTGTTTTCCTGCCTATAGTAAGTGCTGTAGTAAGAGCTCTAGGAGTGCTTGCCTGTAGTAAGTGCTCTGTGTTTGCCTGCCTGTAGTAAGTGCTGTAGTAAGAGCTCTAGGAGTGCTTGCCTGTAGTAAGTGCTCTGTGTTTGCCTGCCTGTAGTAAGTGCTGTAGTAAGAGCTCTAGGAGTGCTTGCCTGTAGTAAGTGCTCTGTGTTTGCCTGCCTGTAGTAAGTGCTGTAGTAAGAGCTCTAGGAGTGCTTGCCTGTAGTAAGTGCTCTGTGTTTGCCTGCCTGTAGTAAAGGGCTCTGTGCTTGCCTATAGGTAGTAAGCACTTTGTGGAATTTATCAAAGCAATTGCGACAGTTTTAGTCTCTTAGATAATGTGCAAATCTGTCTTTTAACAGAGCTTTGACTTGAGCTTGCAGTACTTTTCCAACTGCACCTGTTTTCATCTGCGGCTGTCTCAAACTGGAGCATCACCTAACAAAACAATCACAACTTAAGAAGTCCCCATGACCACTTCTTCAAGAAGCGACAGTTAAATGGGTTCTAAACCCTCCCGTTTTTTTGCATATATGTACAGCTATCAAGCAGTAGGTATAGGCAAACAGTTTAAAAAAAACCGCTAAAACAGCAGTTTAAAATGACCTATTTTTCTTTGCGCGCTCCCGCCCGAGAAAACGAATCTGCTCGGGCGGCCGCAAAGCATCTTGGGGCGGGCGCATGCGCAGTTCGGATTCTCGGCCGGGAGACGAGCAGAGACGCAACGTAAGTGTATGGACGCGTGCATCCGCATGCAGACCCCGCTGGATCGGAGAGACAGAGCAGTCAGC